CTAGTAGTAACAAGTGCCTTACTAGTAGTAACAAAAAGCTATTAGACTTGTCACTTGGCTTTGATGATGCTCTTCTTTGCAAGAAGCGTCTTTGTTGTTAGTCTTTCTCTAAAGTGTTCCTCTTCTCTTGTTTTCTTTGAACCTTTCTCTTCCTTTCTAGATTGGAGGCCATTGCTAGGTTGGAGGCCATCGCTACTAGGGAAGCCATTGCTGGACTTTTCTCATTTCCTCTTCTTTTCTGACTTTTCCTTTAGAAACAAGGACGCTACTAGGAACAAATGCATCGCTTCTAGTAACAAGTGCCTTACTAGTAGTAACAAGAAGCTAGTAGGAACAAGAAGCTACTAGTAACAAGTGCATCGCTTCTAGTAACAAGTGCCTTACTAGTAGTAACAAGAAGCTGGAAGGAACAAATATATATAAAAAACCACCTAGGGCCCTCCCCCCCCGCCGCGTTGGATCGAATCGAGGATGGCGATGATGTCTACGACTGGCATCCAGTCCATCCAAGATGGTTGGAGTCGTGCAACAAGGAGAGGGGGACGGTAGATGGCCTTTTGCTATTGGTTGGGAGGGGACACCTCCAAGAGTGCAAAGCCAAGGATGGTCTATGGTATCCCCAGGATGGGTAGCACTGACCCTTAAACATGATTCCCGCTCAGACTGGAATCCCGCTTAACCGCGCTTGACTCGTTGCTTGCTCAAAGCCTCAAGCTCGCAACGCCTGGCCGATCTGGCTCCGAAAGGATCTTCGCTCAGGCTCGCAGCCGAGCGATTCAGCTCAACCGGGTGGCCTACACCGCCCTCACAGGCAGGGAACAGCAAGAGGTTCGAGCGTCTCAACCGGCTTGCGCACGCAAGAGCTGTCCATGCAGAAATTGCGCGAAGGTATTCAAGAACATGCTGGACGATGGCAGCTGGCACAAGCAACCATCCAGAATTCTCGAGCTGCCAGGGTGGCCTATGACATGCGTGCATACAACAAAGTTCCTTGGAGCCGACCAAAGAGCAACTTCCAAACAAGCAAGGGATCCGAGCAAGCCCAAGGGGATATCGATAAGTTGGTACGATTGATTTCTTTGAGAAGTTCTGGTTGTATTAGGTTGGAGGCCATCGCTGTTAGGTTGGAGGCCATTGCTAGTACTGTCGGTTGTATTTGTGCACTTGGTTTTGATTGGTACGACTGGGCCAGACTGGGCCGAGGCAATGCGAGTCGTGATTGGACCAGCAGTATGGGATGCTTGGCGGTCCATGTTAAGCGACTCAAACATATTTTCCCTCGACATCGCTGGTATCCCTTGGTAGTGGTTCTGCACATTCCGTTTGGTGTGAACGTTGTCCAGAGATGCTTTCCAAAAGATAAGAAGGTAGGACGAATGTGTGTCATTATGTATTGCCCGATCCAGCCTTTTGCGACATTTGTTTCTTTTATTAATTCTGTTTTTAGTTGCCAGCAGACCTTGATTTAGAGATTGATCATGCCAAGGACATTGCTCGAACAGTACCCCCTCTTCCAATACAATGACCCCACGCCCCGGATTGGAGAAAAGAAGGGCGCCAGTCCGTCGGTGGACCCGGTGAACGTGCCAAGACCGCTGTTTCAAGATCAGAACAGATCAAACGAGCTGAAAATGGCTGCCTTTTGGGCTCGAGCATTCCACAAAAAGCTTGGCGTCCAATCGCCGTGTTGGAGTGATTCGGATCAAAATGTGCAGTGCCATTCATTGAAAGATGTGGGTAGCATGGATCAACAAAGCAGACTTCACTCAAAGACCGTTGAGACGTCCAATTTCCAGAGTTGAGACTCCTGGACTCCTAGACTGGACTTCTTCCCTGCAAAAGAAGAAAAACACCAACGGATACCAACTCTCAAAATGCTCCGGAGAAAAACACAGACCCACACCCACACGCACACGCACACCCACACACATGCACACACACCAACTGTCTTGCCCTTGTTCTCGCCAACTCTCAAAAATATGCGACAATGAGCCGCTCCTTGCTGCGACTTCCGGTGATCCGCAGCTCCAAGGCAAAGCATGCGACCGGACGGACATCGGACGGAGAGGTGTCCACAAACCAAGAGGAGACGAGAAAACGACAACATATCACACACACACATAAATATATATATATATATATCCTATTCCCAAAAGCATCTCCGATGCTTGGGTTCTCGTTTAGTCGCTAGTGCCGCGGAAGAGCGAGACAAAGCATGCGTTGTCGGGGACGGAAGATGTATGTGGAGGTGGACGGGGTTGGGAAGGGGAGAGGGAGGGGAAGGAAGGGAGGGGAGCGAGACGGGAGGCGCATGGGTGGGGACGGGGCTGGGAGGGAAGATGGAGGGGAGCGAGGCGGGGCGCATGGGTGTGTACAGGGCTGTGTGGAAGGGGCGCGAGACGGGAGGCGCATGGGGTGAGGAAGGGAGGGGCGGGAGATGGGAGGTGCGTTGTGCATGGGTGTTCACGTGTCTGGGGAGGGGCGCGAGACGGGAGGTGCATGGACGGAGCTGTGGAAGGAAGAGGGAGGGGCGCGAGATGGGAGGAGGGGGCCAATGCTGCTCCATGCTTCGCGGCAGAACGTCGCTGTGCGAGTGGAGCGATCTTGCGCGGCTGATATGCTAGTTACGAGGACATGGGTGCACCACAAGCATCATTGCAGGCTGCTCCGGGTCAGTTCACAAGTAGAACGAAGCATGGGTGGAGGTAGTTCTGCTCCATGCTTCGCGGAAGCACGTTCTGACGCGAGGGGAGCTGTGTTGCAGGGCTTATATGATGGTCTTGGGTGTCCAAAATGTGCACAACGCAGTCATGACCGAAACGGCAGGATTGTTGCATGCCAGAACTGCAGTGCTTGAAATTTGATGGTTGGAACGAAGCATGGGGGGCTGATGCTGCTCCATGCTTCCTGGAACGGTTGTCAGAAGCCATGTTGCACTGGGGTTGGAGACTAGCTGCAGAGATTGAAAACAGCCACTTGATGTGTATATATATATATATATTTCATCCAACCTCCAACCCGACAAAAAAGGGAACCGTCTTGTTTTCTTCTTACTGCAACGATATTGAATTTCTATCTAGGGTCTATGCCGGTGTAAATTCTTAAGATCAAAGCCCGCAAAGGTTTGCCAGAGAAAAACGAACGACAAATCAATCCTCTCCTCCTGGGATATCTCCGCCATATCGACGCCCTGATCGTGCCAACGATGCACGCCACCGGAAATCTATGCCAAACAATTAAACATTAGACGACGAATGACCCGAAAGCATTTTACCGCGTGTGATGCACTGTAGTGCTGGCACAGCAGTACACACGCGCGCGCTTTTCCCAAAAGAATCTCCGACGCTTGTGTTCTCGTTTAGTTTAGTCGTTAGTACGGGGGCAGAGCGAGACGAGGCAAGCATTTTCGTTGACGGAAGATGGGTGTGGACGGGGCTATGGATGGAGATGGGAGGGTGGACGGGCGTGGACGGGGCTGTGGAAGGAAGATGGATGCTAAGTAGAACGAAGCGTGGGGGCTAATGCTACTCCATGCCTCGCGGAAGCGGAAGAACGTTATTGCGCGAGTGGAACTGTCTGGCGCGGCCTATATGACGGTCTTGGGTGTCCAGAATGTGTGCAATGTATGCCGAAGACAGCCCAAGTCATTGCCGAAACGGCAGGATGGTTGCATGCCAGAACCGCAATGCTTCAAATTTCATGGTTGGAACGAAGCATGGAGGGAGCTGATGCTGCTCCACGCTTCCTGGAAGGGTTGTTAGAAGCCATGTTGTACTCGTTTTATGACCGTTTTGGAGGGCTTTCAAAAATTGACCAAGGGGTGGACGGGGGTGTATATGGCAGACGGGGGTGGACGGATGCGCACCAGAACCGTGATGCTTGAGATACCATGGTTGCCACGAAGCCTGGAGGGGGCTGATGCTTCGTTTTGGCCTGCTAATGTGTGTTTGTTTATTTTTCCTGGGTTGCGCGTTTCTTTTGCTTTTGGATCCGCGGGCTCACCTTGTTTTTTTGGGGGCAAGTAGATTTCTTGGTTTGCGTTGCATTCCAGTCATTTTGGATGCTTTACATTACAGTCTTGCTGGGAAAAGGACATCGATCGACTCAATTGCAAGGCCGGTCTTGGCATGGGGAGTCGCTATCGCTTGGCTCCTCGCCAAGACGATCTACGTTTCGTGGAGAAGCGGTGCCCTCGCCTCACTTCGCTTCGCATTCGCTTCGCTTCGCCCTTTCAACAACTTCGGTTCGATTCCGGTTGAGTTAAACCACTGAGCCCATTGGTTGAGCCAGGCCGGGTGCTTGGGATTCCAGTGTGGTCGAAGACGAGGACGATGATTTGACGGACTCCACGGCCAGTGAGGCGCTTCGTGACAAGCTTGCAGCAGTTTTTCCATCCCACACGCGTGCTTCGTTGAAGGGTAGGGCGATGAGTGGTGGATGTTCCAAGTTTGGCAAGTTGTTTTGTGACGGTTCAATGGTTTTGGCATGTTTTGGCCAATATTTGGTGTGTATATATATATATGATATACTATATACACAATTATGGGTGTATAGTATAGTTGTACAAATATATGTTGAAGAGACGATTCGCAAGGGATGCAATTAGCTTGGCGTTTTTCAGTGAAATTATCTCCAACCCCTGCGGAGTGGTTGGTGGACATGTGATGCCAGACTGTAGTCTATTGGGGATTTGTCGTGCCGTTTGGTGATGAAGCAATCATATCAATATGTTGTTTGGTACAAGGCATCCTTTGATCCCTCGATGTGCTATGATTTTCGGGGATTTCTGGTCCTGTTTGGTGCGTTGTAATGCTTTTGCTTGATGTGTATTCTGCTTTGCCGTTTTTGGTTGGGATTGCTACGTCAATCTGCAACGCAGTGCTTTTTGGCATTCGGTGATATTGACTGGATGTGGCTTCTGCAGCTCGTCTTATCCTGCCAAATCTCTACTAACGGTGGTCCCTCTAGACTCTAGACATTTTGTCCCCAAACAAGCAGCGGCGTTTGCCTCATTGGTAAGATAGCAAGACAAAGCCATTGATTTCATTGATTCCTGATATTTTGGGATGCTGAGTGATGATTTGTTCACGGCTCGCAGCAAGGCGGAGGTTCAGTCTTCCCGAGATTCATGGACATGGGCTCCGGAGCCAGGCCGGAACAAGATGCTGATTTACAGGTGTTTTCCACGTGAAAAGTTGGCAGGTGAAACGAAATGATTTCCTTTGGACAATTGGATCGTTGGAAGCTATCGTATAGTTTATGTCGTTAATAGACAAGAAGCTACCAGTAGCCCCTGGCATCGCTACTAGAAACCCGGGCATCGCTACTAGGAACAAGAAGCTACCAATATCAGAAAAGGATCAAGGTGAAGCAACTTGCAAGGTCCTGGGCAGTACGAAGAGTTTTACGGCCCGATTGGGGCCAACAAATGGAAAGCCAAGTAGGGAGCTCAAGGCAATTTCTTGTCAGCAAATGAGCTGGAGTGCTGCCTGGCCAACTTGCATATTGATTTGCAAAGACTCCAAAAACTTATTTGGTGCTTCAAAAGGGTCAAAAAGAGAACTCAACAAGGACAAAAAGATAGAGGCACAGAAAGCAAATCTTGGGATTTTGAGGGCACCTCAGGATGCGTGGCTTGAGACATCTCGAATTGGTGAAGCCAAGGTGGTGGAACCCCTCTGCTGGCTTGCCACAACAAAACCATCGTCGAGCGACGATCCAAGCAGAGATCGCAGAGTTGGTGGCTAGTGGCCAGCCCAAGGAGATCCGAAATCTGTTGGTGGAAGTCCTGGTGCAAGAGAGCCCTGGCTCAGTTGGACAGTCGTACGAACTTGTAAAGGATTTGCTCCTGGTAGCGCTGCCCTTTGTTACTAGTGGCTTCTTGTTACTAGTAGTAAGGCCAGGAGCCACTAGCAGCGTCCTTTCTCCTAGTAGCGATAAGCATGTCCAAGGTTTGATGTTTGGCCAACCGAGAGAAACCATTGGGGAGCATAATGGGTAGCATGTGGGGCATTGTATTTGAACAAGAATGAACATCTTCACCAAAAAGCGATGTGGAATTTGTTGGATGTATAGCAGGAGGAAATTTACCGAGCAATTCGAGAAGCATATAATGTTACCAATGAAGAAGAATAATTCTATTCAAAACATAATAAAGATAATTCCTCATATATTGAAGACACTATACTAGGTATTAAATATTATAGGATTGATAAACACTAAATTAATAATAATATATAAAAAACATCTATGCATTTGATAAAATATTAATATCCGATAAGAAAAAAAATGTCGATTGCGTAATTTCGATTGTATATTTTATTGATGGAATATTTTTATTGGAATTTGAATTGTGCGATATAATACGATATTAAAATATAATGCATAATAATCGTAATGGAATTATATTTTGAATATATATGCTTTTGATTTGATATTACATATATTGGTATATATATATATTTTTTAAATTAATCTTATTTTAATTATATTTTGATAATATATTATATTAAAAATATTTAAATTTTATTTCGGCAAAAGATTTGTAAATAGAAAATCTAGAGATTTAGATGCATTGGGGTCTAGAGAGGTGATGGTGGTGATGAAGTGAAGGTGGGTGTGAGTGTGGATGAGAGGGAGTGGGAGAGTGAGAGTGAGTGAGAGTGAGTGGGAGAGAGAGTGAGAGTGGGAGAGTGAGTGAGCGTGAAAGTGAAAATGAATGCGGGGGAGAATAAATTTGAATGAGAATGAGAGAATATAAATGAAAATGAAAGAATGAAGCTCTAAAAGAATAAAATATTATGCATGTTACGAAAATTGTATTTCGACATTTGTAAATATTATGTTTGTTACGAAATTTATACGTATTTGTTACGAAATTTGCAAACGAATCATTTATATTTAATATATTTATTACGATTACGAATGCTGCACTTGCCACGAAAACTATATTTTTAAATAAAATAGTTCCGATTCTTTGCACCTATTACGAAAAATCGATACGAGGTTCTTTTAGCCTTATTACGAAAAATCAGCACCATTACGAAAATGCGTACGGCACCGTTACAAACACTCGGACATCCAGATTTAACGATCCTGCGCAATCGAAATGCACATGGACGATGTCGAAAGGCATGAATGTATTGTAAATAGTAGCGAATTAGCCGGTTATGCCCGCGCGCTTTAGCGATCTAAGAATTAATTGCTTTTCCTTTATCGTAAGATCCCTTTAGTGGCGTATTGGCTGGTTTAATTTTCATTATAATTCCGTTCTTTTTTGATAGTATATCTATGAACTTCATTTCACGAAATGGGGTAGAACCATGGGTGCTTGCTTCATAAGTGCAGCTTTTGGTCACGGACCGCTGCCATCTGCCCTAAGGGGCCTCTTGAGCACATAGGACGCGCTACGCAAGCATAAAAAATTAGCGCAACCTTTTTCATTTCCGTTTTTTATGCCAACACTTCGAGCGGTTGGACACACTACTTCGAACAACCTGATTTATTTACATAAAGCTATTTAGTAAAGGATCCAACATTATTGAATTTATATATTATTCTTTGATTGTTCAATATATAAAAATACACAATATATAACATTAATTATATGAATATAATGATATATTTTATTTTTGATTTTATAGATTGTCATAATATAATATATATATTTATATTTTAATATTCAATTTCTTATAATTTAGTAATATTTGCGACATTCAATATTTCAATTTAATACAATAATATTAATATATATCGGCATCCAATTTCACCATATTCTTAAATTTAATTTTTATTTATTTCGAAAATTGGCATTGGAGGAAGATGAGGCATCGTATCATATATGTAATGATCGATTGGATAAATTCGATAGGATGCAATTATCAAAATTTAATTGCCATATATATTTGAATCAATTGGCCTAATATATATTTATTCAATTCTATATATATATATAAATTATAATTCATTTATTTTTATCTTATTATATAATCATTTGGGAATAATTATTTTGAAATTTGACCATATTATCATTATATTTATTTCATCAAAATGAAAGATATATAAGGATAATTCAGGTCAAAATGAACGAATAAGAAGAAATCACAAAGGGGCATTAAAATAATGCCGATACAATATGCAATAGATTTATTTTCCTCCTTATTTATTTTTCTTCCTCTTTCCATTTCAATCGTACCTCCTAATTATTAATAGACCCAAAATATTGAAGCAATTCAAATCCTTCGGGGATAAGATGCAAGGATATATAGGGCAAATAGGACGAAATAAGAAATTGGTGATTTTCGCAAAATGAAGATTCAATAATTTAATATTTGTTGATTTCCTTCCCATTCTTCAATCATTGAATATATATATATATTCCTCGACCATTCCGAAAAAGAATCCAAATCAAATATATATATTAAAAAAGACATCAAAACAAATATATATTATAGATTATAAAAGAATATATATAGAAATTATTTTACAACGAATTCATTTTTCAATACCAACAAAAATTTAAAATACATTAAAAACAATTATCTATAATTATATCATTGCTTCACAACAATATTAAGAAAATTTTCATGGTCCTATACAATAAATCATAAATTTATATTTATTATATATCTTCAATATATTTCAAATATTAATAAATAAAATAAATATATATAAATTCTACAAATTAAAATATAATCTATCTTGCTTAAATAATTTCTAAAAAAATTAATCTATGTTCTTTTAATATAATTTATTTATTTCAATGATAAATTAATATTAATTATTTATTATTCAAAATATTTTGTATAAATATAAATGAATCAAATCTATCAAAAAATCATTCATTATAGAATTGAAATAATTATTCATCGATTATTATTCAATATTATACAGTGAAACCATATATTGCAATGTTGCTTACCAAAAAACAACCCCCTACGGCAATATCAACGCCCATCTTCCAATGCGCGCCGAGACACACCTCGCAACGACACTCTACAACAACAATAACACCCAAACTCCAAAATACATATGACCATCCATCTAGCATCGACGCCCTGCAATAGCACCAACCAACACCCAACCTCCAAAGCGCACACGACCCCACACCAACACCCAAGCTTCGAAGCGCATCCAAGCTCGAAAGCGTACGCGACCCCAAATTGCACACGGCTACACATGCAGCAACGGCGCCACATATCAATTTATATAACCAATTATATATATTTTTTGAAATATAAAATCCTTATCCATTCTGGGGGGGGGACCTGAATAATTATAATCTATAATTTTCCTAATATAGATCTAATAAAATATTAATTATATTTATTAGGCAAATCACCAAAAATTGTAGTTCTTTTAAACTACATTTTTCAATATATAATATAAGTAAATAGGGGTATATATAAATTACATTATTTAGGTCTTTTCCAGGAAAAATGTCATTTGCATTAAATCACATGTCAGGCTGTTTGTATGAGGTTTTTTATCCATTTTGTCCTGGGTTATAATGGAATCGATTCCCAGAATAATATATAATTTATTTAGATGGATCCAGGCCTGGAATATGTACAATTTCACCTGGTATGTAATGTGTGAAATTGGGTTTGGATATATTTAAGTGTTCCTTTCTTTGTTAGGTTGGTTGTATTTTGGGGCGTGTGAGGGTATTTATCCTTTATATCCTAGTCCTAGGTCATAATGATGTAATTTAAATCCTTAGATACATACAAGCCTTAGATAGATATATTGTCAAAAACCTTTCCACCTAATATCATATTAGAAAATAAAAAATAGATCTAATTCAAGAAAATATAATTAAAATATATCCAAATCTAAAATATATAAAAATAAAATTAATCTTAATTATATTTATACCTATCTTTTTTTAATAAGATTATTATATTTTAATATTATATAAGATTATTTTATCCTTAGTATCCTAGAAAATAGAATCTTATATATAATTGTGATTTCCCCGATAATAAATTAATAATAAAATATTAGATATTTTTATAATAATGTATTATTTATTAATTCATTTATAATATGTGTTTAGGTAAATTTATTAAACATATATTTTATAATATAAACATATCGATAATTCAAATTCCCCTCTTTTAATTTTTTTTTTAAAAAATATATATAATTCTATATTTAATAAATATAATTGTGAAACCATCCCCCTTCACGTGTGACGCGTAGCCACGGGGTTCAAGAGTGAAAACGGCCGCTGTCACTTTTTAGTGGCAGCGGAGCCTCGGTTGGGGATCCAGGGACCGGGGGCACTCGAGCCGGCTGCGGTGGGGGCGCGGCGGCGCCTTTTTTGGTTGGTGGGGGACCTCTTGAACCTCGTGGTGGGGGTGCAGGATGACTTCGTACTACGACACGTTCGAAGTGCATAGGGAGCCCAATGGTACGTTCTCCGAGGGCGATTCGGATTGGAATCCTACGGAGGAGGCCAGTGGCACAGGGGGTGACAGTGGCCTGTGGGATCATCAAGGTGATGGTCACTCGTGGACTTCATCGAGAACTTCATGGAGAAGGAGTTGGCATGGACACGACTGGGCGGAGAACTGGTCGTGGGATGGTGGGAACTCGGAAGCGGGAAGCTACGTGAACTGGAGGGAGAACTGGAGTTGGCATGCACCTCATGAGCCAGGTGATCGAGAAGGGCACCATCAACATGGAGGACATTGTGCCGGGAATGATCAAGGCCAAGGACGAGGTGCCGCTTCGTGGACTACGGAAAGGACTCCGGCCTCCCCTCCAGCGGCCGGCTTCGATCGTTATGGGAACCCGCCATCGGGGGAAGTCTTCCGTGGGGGATGCGCCTGACCCGAAAGGCCCAGGTGATGAGGGGAAGGCGGCCATGTCAGGCAGAGGGAAGGTCAGCAGTTCCTACCCGCCGATTTTCAGAGCCAAGGCGGGTGAGAGCTACAGAGATTGGAGAAGGGCCCTCGAGTTCTGGCTGGGAGGTGAGGGGAATCAGATCCCTGAAGAACTCATAGGCCCACGCATTATGGTGCAGCTACGTGACCGAGCAGCTCAACTTGTGAAGCACCTGAACAACAGCGACGTGAACCGTGTGGGCGGCAAGGAACGCATCTTTGAGGTGTTGGAGAAGAGCCCCTTGGTGAGGCAACTTG